ACGCAGGCGGCGCTACTGATACCGATACAGGCTACTTCCCAGACGATTCATCGCAGGCTTCAACTAACGTTACGGTTGGCGGTGCGCCGAACGGTGTTAAGCCCCTCCCCACGCCTCCTACTTCGAACGTCAATGGCAGCCTGCCTCAGAAGTACTCAGCTTCATCTCCGTCTGTGGTTCCCATGGATATCTTGCAGGCGCCGCCAATTGTGTCTATCACGCCGACAAGCCCGCCTAGGATGGACACACTGCCTCCGTCTTCTTATGACGGGGAGAAGACGTCCTTGGGTCGAAGCGTCTCAGGCTCTATCAAATCCGCCGCTTCGGATTCGTCACGAAACAAACATCGAAGAGGGATGTCTATCGACAAGATCAAAGGGATGTTCGGGTCTGGATCTGGGTCCGACAACGAGGGAAGCAATGGCCTGTTCTCGAATGGGTCGATTAAGAGGCGAAGGCCTTCGGAGACGAGTGTCACAAAGGCGACACCGAGGACGAAGGACAGTATCTCGAAACATTCGACTTTGCAAGTCGTACCGTCTGCAGATCCGAAGAAGTCTCCAGCGAGCAGCGAAAAGAGCAACGAAGGAAAGAAATCGAGGCGAAACACACTCACCGGCTTGGTCGAACCGATCAGCAAGCAAATTCGGCAGCGTTCGAAGGCTCGTACTCCATCCACCGAGGCGCGTCGCGAGAAAGAGGTTCCTCAGGAGGTTCCGTCGCTGTCTGCTGGAACGCAGAGTACACAGGAATCAGATGCGCCATTGACACCCCGGTATTCGCCTACGAGACCCGAAATCTCTCCTATCATCACGGACATCCCTGCTTCGACGAGCAAGGCTTCCAAGGTCATGCAATGGTTCCGATACCGTAGCAAGAGTCGTGGACCGTCCGACGGCGATCAGGGTGACAAGTCGATTGGAGAGGACTACGAGAAAGTCCCGCATCCCGACCGGGAGGCGAGCGTTACGCCGACCGCGGCCAGTCAGCATTCGAACATGTTCACTACATCGCCCAACACATTTGGTCGTACTCGAGTTCCATCCGTCGTTACTACGCCCGCGGATGGTGTGAAGGCAGTTCCTCTCGCCTCCGATGCATCTGTACCTCATACACCGCATGTCAACTTGACTGGCCGAGCCCGTGGTGTCCTGTCGAACATCCTTTCTTCCCCTGCGGCTCCTCGCCATGGTTCCTTCAACAAAGAAGCCATTCATGTTCATCACGGTGCCGTAGACCATACGATGGTCACGACTGGTTCGCCGCCCGACGTTATGGCGCACGTTACGAAGGTTCTCCTCGATATGGGGCTGGAAGTCCAGCAGGAGACAGACTACAAGTTACGTTGTGTTCGTGCGAAGAGAAGGAAGGCTGGTGCCGGTGCAACTGGCGGTGTCACTGCAATCACAATGGTCGGTTCGGCGGGATCGAACGGGGTACGTTTTCTTCAGTCAAGTCCTAATGTAGCTTTTTTAATTGACAAACAGGTTGATAAGCGTGGCCTACCAATCCCATCTCAATCCTCGTTCTCGTCCACAGGTGGGATGCTTAAGGGTCTGCTTATGCGCCGTCAATCGTCGCAAGTGTCGAACAACAGTATCCCCAACTCTTCCTTCACGTACGAGGATGGTCCCGACGCGTCCAGTGCTAGCCTTGCAGGACGGGAGAAGATTTCGGTTCTACCAACCCCTCCTGCACAGGAGCCAATATTCGGTGACAGGACAGTCGATCAGGGCGACGAAGTCAGATTTTCAGTGGAGTTGACGCGGATTGATCGTTTGGACGATACGTTCACAGTTGATATTCGCCGTCTCAAGGGTAACTTGAGAAGCTACAAGTTCCTTTATGATGCGATCCGAGAGTGAGTACCATGTTTTTCGTCTTCAACGTGCGCCGACTGACGAATAATTATACAGGCGCTGCCAACTCAGCCGATAGGAAGCATGACGATGAAGGTCTTTATTGCTTTGTTATGTTTCTTCTCGTCTCCGCGTCCTTTCCTTGGGTTCATTTCAAGAATGAATTATGCATATGCTACACCATGTCAGAATGACACAAGTCACAATTTTCCCTTTCTCCTTTTTCTCCTTCCCTTCGAATCCACTAGCTACTTTATGAACAAACCCAACAAAATACTTGCAGTATTGACTAATGTTCCGTATCCTTTCACTTCATTTGTCTCATACCCCCAAAGCCTCCTCTCCCTCATCACGATGTTCGTGCTTGAGCTTGTATATTCGTTTGACTGCATTTCATTCATTTCACTCCTGTACAGTACTCGACTCAAGTCCCTTAGTGGTCATGCACGACGTTATGATATAAAACTCGCAATCAATTTTTTCAAGTATTGTTTCGACGGTGGCGATTCTGGCGACTCTGGTACAAAATTAAAGCTGTGGATGGTACAAGGTACAGGCTGCTACAAATCGATCTATGTGATGGGTATAATAATGAAGGAATGGTGTTCTATGGATGACATCGTATCGATACAGGACGATTGGTTGGTATATAGAGTAACGTGGTCTCGGGTATCCGTGTTCCAAGCAGATGAAGAGAAGTCGGTAAAGGCGACTTGGTTTTTCATATGATCACTTTGCGAGAATAAGCATACGATGTGGTTCCTCAAGCAGATGCACTCACAGCGCTCGAGTCGACTTGCTCTCTTGACTCGGCCAGAGCTTGTTCCCCCACCAAACCGTCATCCGTAGGGCTCAAGCTCGGCCCAGCTTGACCAGGGCCAATCAACGCCTGACCAGATAGAGCGCGCGTATTGGAGACGGAGCAGGTAAGGTACCCGTTCGAAGCGTTGCCGAAGTCAGAAGTGTACGAGCCCGAGGACGAAAAGAAGGTCTGCGAAGACAAGCCGTTGACGTTGACGACCGGACGAGGAACGTGAAGGTGGATGTTCTCGAGGCCGTTGGTAGCAGTGGGGTTGAAGTTGCCGTTGGGGAGCAGCATAGGGTCGATCGGAAGGCTCGTAGCCAGGGTGTACAACTTCGACTTGTTGCCGTCCCGGATGCGCGGCAAGACCGCCTGGCCTTCGAGCGACGGAGAGGCAGTTCCAGTTTTCGAGAGATGATCCAAGAGGGGAGGCAGAGGCGTCATCGGAGGCGGGGCACGATGCAGAGGCGTGCCGTAATTGTACATGGCGCCCGAGTTGGCGCTCGGATACGGAGTGCTTGTATGCGCGATTTGGCTTGGGAAGTCGTGCTCCGGAGTGAAGGGATAGTAGGGCGTTGTGGGACTCATGAACTGCTGAGATTGCGCCTGGGGAGTTTGACTGTACTGCATCTCGAAAGAGACGCGCGTACCGTGGTGCATGTACGAGTTGTTATTACCGGCCAGAGCAGCGTCGCCCAAGAGGGTCACATTAGACTTGTCGTCCGTCTCCTCTTGAGATCCTTGCGAGTCATTGAATACAGCCTGAGTGAACGAGCCTTGAGGACAGACAGGAGTGTTGACCACAGAGACTTCGCCAGAGGAGTATTCCGCGTAGTTGGTGTTCTGGAGAGCATCATTGGGACCGCCGAGCGAGAGAGAGTGCATGAAGTTCCTTGAGTCTGTTTTAGCCTTTCCGTCAGCCATCGAAGGCGTGCTGTTTTTGTCAGTGCCCTCTCTGCCCGAGAACCTGATGCGACGGATCGTTTCCCTGGATCGCTTGTCCTGACAGGTAGGACAGGCCTTGACGAAGTTCGCAGTCAGCTCCTTCGGAATCCAGGTGTAGTATTCTCGGAGAATCTTGCACGTTTTGTCGCGTCCGGCGTGGCAGGACTCTCGGTGGGCCATGCACAGAATGTCGTAGATCTGCTCGCGTACGGCGACCGGGCGACCTCCGTGAGTGATGACGAGGGTCTTCACTTCGTCGCCAGCCTCGACGAGCTGGAACATCTTGCGAGCCCAGAAACGGAACTGAGGCGATCCGACGCGTGTAGCTTCCGGGTGAGCGAGTGCCTCGAAGATGTTGCAGTGCATAGCGTGCGTGATGAGAGCCTTGTCGCGTTTGCGCTCGTGCAAGCCCTGCACATATTCGTTCGTAATGCGCGCAAATTCGGCGCGCGTCGGCATGCCTTGTTCGTCGGTGTCGGAGTGAAGAACAGTCTCGTCATAGTTGAAGTTCTTGGTATCTTCGGCGTCTTCCGTCGCGTTCTGAGAGACTTCTGGACCATCAGGAGAACCGTTCGCTAGAGCACCACCGTGAAGCAAGTCCGTCGCGTCCGGTTCAGCCTTCAAGTTGAAAGGTGGCAGGTTCAAGTCGTTGGCAGTGAGGTCTCCGCTGCTATTAGGTTCTGAAATGAGAGTACTAGCATTCCCAGAGAAGTCGAAACCCAAGTTCGCGTGAGTGGCATCGATGAAGTTCTCTTGATCGTCTCTAGCGACCGACGGCGACCGACTGACAACATAGCTTGCATCCTTGGACGTCTTGAGGCCATTTTTCGACGAAGGGCTTGGTTTAGAATAAGGCTTGCTGTTGGCGAGTCTGCTGGGGGTCCCAAATCGCCTCGAAGGTTGTTCTACTTCGCTGTTGCTGGCGGTGGCAGAAACGACCTTCATCGCAAAACCTCGAGCCAGAGTTGATTCGAAAGAGCTACCTCCTCGAATAAATGATCAGATTCATCAAAATATCGAACACAGCTCACCGTCGAGTATCGAAAATGACCGTACAAAAGAGAGTGGAATTGCGGGCTGGGCTAACCTGGTCGTCGTTGGAAGAGCTCGCCTTTATACCGCAGACAATCAGCGCGGCTGGCACGCGTCCCTGGGATTTCCACGTGGACACACATAGGCGTCTATTCTCTGGTACTCACGACCCTTGGCGCCTCCGCATAAATTCTGAAACAAATATTTCCAACTACATTATTATAGTTACGTTCTTTACTGTAAGTATATGCTTGCAATAGACTCTCGAGTTTTGAATATTATTAGGCTATTCAAAAGAAATTCTGATAAGCCGCTTTCTGTGTAAAGCGCTATATAGGTCTAGTTAAAACTAAATTCTCTATGTCACTTTGCCGGAGTGGTTAACGGGATCGCCTGCTATGACATGCATTACGTAAGCGGTTGTGCTTTGCACGCGAGTGTTCGAGTCGCTCAGGTGACGCTTTTTTCTCCTTTTTGTGATTGAATAACTTGCACAATCTTCCTGGGTGGAAGAGACACTATTGTTCTTTGATTTTTCAGTATTTTTGCCCAGTACAGATGTTTAGCTCTTTAAGGAAATTGGAACTTCAAATTACAAGTACAGATGTGGACTAATATTCATACAATACATATTATCAGCAGCTTGTGCTAGCTTGCACAGTAAATTTAGGATTTCCATTGGAATCAAGCACTCCCCACCCAGTGATGTGATCATCCCAACTGCGCCACATCCAAGCAATATCATTGGGCTTGAAGAAATCTGAACAATGAGAATCTAAGAGCTGCCAAAAGGCTGCTTCAGAGCTGACTGAAGCATCAATGCTATTGCTGTTTGGAGCAAACTCATCTTCATTTGAGGGCCAGCCAGTCTATGGACATTAGAGAAAACAAATAAGAGAATATTTTACTTAAATGATCATGTTTACTGACCTGTGTAACCATTATATGCTTTCCATTTGCTATTGAAGCAATATATTCAAGATCACTGACAAAATCATTCCAAGAGCCAGAAGAACCACCAGTGGTTGCATCCGGGAAGAAATATGGCATATCATTTACCATAAAGAAATCAATTGCTGCAACCATGGATGAAATGTCACCATTGGCTGAATTTTGCCATCCACCTGCCATCTCAGAAATTGATACTGGCATATCTAAACCAGCATTGACAAATTCACTCTTCATCTGAGTGACATATGTTGCCAAATTAGAAGCTGAGCCAGCATCATCATCCAAAAGAGGCTGTAAATTTGGTAAGATTCAAAGGAGTAAAATTGTGGCTGTCAACCTACTTCATCACCTGAAATCCAGTGTAAGTAAGTTATTGAATTACCAGAAAGACAGATTTCACAGACCATAAGCAACAGCAATCACATTGCTTGGATTTTTAATAACAGCCTGTTGAGATTGAAGTTCAATTAGCAGAAACAGCGTAAATTTGAATTAGAAACTCACATCTGTGACTGCTTCCAGCCTTGGGACTGATTCACTGGTAAATGTCCCTGAATCAACCAGAGTCCAAGCTATGGGAATGACATAGATGCCAGCTGCTCCAGCAGCTGCAAACACATCTGTAGTCTGATCAGTAAATGCTCTCAACAATAATTGACAATTAAAAGGGGCATACTATCATATGTATCTTCAGAGCCATCTTCACAGGGATCAAATGTGACAACTATGCGGGAACCAACAGATTTCATTGTGGAGAAATCACTTGCCATTGTTTCAGCAGATGGGCAGCTCTGGGGAATATTCATCAACAATTCTTTTTTGTTATGAAATGTTTTATAGGAATACTTACACTGAGTGAATAAACAAATCCACCAAATGCATACATGCTTTCAATTACACTCATCCGTTGACTTGAGGATGAGCTTGTTTGTGTGGTGGTGTTTTGTGAAGGAGTAACAGCACTTGAAGTTTCTGTACTCATCGGATTTGGTGCTGTTGTTGAGACTGGTGCTGTTGTAGTGGATTGTGAGCCAAAAATTGATTCCACTACACTAGAGACAGCTGAGGCAGCTGAACTCTGTGAAACTGTTGTACCTTGTGGGGCTGCCAGCACCCCGAGGAGTGCCGAGAGCTCATACAAAAGAAGCAAAGTCCTGGCACAAGAGTTTGGCAGCATCTCAATAGCAGGGATGGCCGGGCCAAAATTAATCTATCCTTGAATGTACTCTCATTATATGCTCTCTGGATGAGATGCGACATTGTCAACATTGTAAAGACTCACCGTACGTGCAATGTGCTGAACTGCCAAGTCAGAAATGCTCGAGTTTGGTGAGATTGATATGTTTGCTTTGCTTGCAGTTCCAAGTGCACTTGCATTCTAACGTGAAAGCTTTACAATCTGGTCATGTTGTAAAACAAATTTATGAATATTGGAAATCAGATGACAATCACATCATCCTGAGGAAACAAGGAAACAACTCGACTCACCTGTTGTACATTTTCATTGCCAGCGAAGCGCATCCAATAAGAAAGAAGATATCAAACGATCACTGGACAATGCTTAGACGGCACCTATTTCTTCTTTTTCTCTGTTTGATCTTCCGATTCGATCCACTTCTTCGGTATACCTTTCTCGATAAGAAGCTCGCTCACGGCTTTTATCTGTTTCCCTTGCACCATGACCTCCAGGCCGGCTGTTTTGCCAGGCAGAGGCGCAACTTCAAATCGTAAAAGTTCAGTGACGATAAATCATTGGAATTGCGTGGCACGCACCGGCAGTAGACGAGGCGCATAGTTTTCGTAGTTCGTCTGCGAGGCTCTCCGCAACGAGAAGGAATGGCTCGAAATTTGTAACGAGCGTGCATGCCTTTCGGCCTTGACGCATTTTTACGAGGATTGAAATGGGCTTCAGCTCGCCCTTTCTGTTTACTCGCATGAGTAAATAAGAGGGATAAAGAAATAATTAATATTACTTAGGTTTCCCTTCGCTGTCTTTCGTATCCAGGCGATACCACGGTTGCATCTTCGAACTCAGCTTTGAAATAAGGTCCTCGCGCTTCGCGAATTCTGGTGGTGCATCTGCGCCTTTGGATGTGAATATGCCTGTAAGTAATTCATCGACGGCGACGTTGACGAAAAGTTGGTTGTGCGCATTGACGAGGGACTTTGTCGTAATATATGCGTTAAGGGCTGTCTTGACGTCAGATAGCGTGTAAAGCGCCGACGTGCTTTAGGCCGAGAGATCAGATCTGTCCGAGAAAATTCAGCTGGATTCAACTCACTCGTTATCGGTTTCCTCGAATATTTTCCTTGCGGGCCCCGCGTGCGGTCTCCAGAGTTCAACGACCTTGAGTCCCCGCTCGCCCTTCATCTTATCTTCCTTCTCTTTCTCCTCGCGCGCTTCTCTCTTCGCCTTCTTCGCGTCCTGCTCGCCCACGGTCTTGAACACGACATGTGCCTTCACGGCGTCATGTTCTACGTTCACGCTGGTGACGAGAACCTCTTGCTTCGCATCCTTGAGTGAGAGCAAGCCCTCTTTTTCGGCGCTGCGCAAGAAATGTGTGAGGGATTTATGTGTGCTGTGCTTGATGTCGATGGGCGTCGATGTATGCGGAGGAAGTGGAGGGAGCAATCGTGAAGGGCGAGCGGGGAGGAGGTGCGCGGTGTAGAAGGTGCTGGAGGGAAGGGGAAACGAGGATTGGGGGAGGGAAGCGAGTGTGGTGCGGATTGCTTGGAGGAGTGAGGTGCGGAGGAGTGAGGATACGTCTTGATCTAATGTGAATAATACTTGGGAAATAAATAGATTGAAAGACTTTACCTTCAGGCTTCAAAGGTAATGGACCTGCATCTTCATCCTCTTTTATCTCAGAAGTCCCTTCACCCGCGTCTTTCTTCGCTCCTTCGTCCTCTACATCGGATACAGGAGGAGGAGTCACAACACACCCATCCTCTTCCCCGTCCTCGTCATCCACAACTTCCTCTGCACCCGTTCGCTCGTCTTCGGGCAGCTCAGGAATCTCACCTCCCTTCCCCATCTCCCACAAAAAGTCCTTGTAAATATGTAACAAGACCGCCGCTTTACCCTTTCGATCGCGCTGGGTCAGCGCAGAGGCGTCGACAGCCATGCGCCCAACTGCGAGCGGCATTCCACCTCGGCGCCTAGTGGAATCATACTGCCCGATGCTCACAAGCTGCGACGTTCGCAAAGAGGTTGAATGTGTAACGACTGGCTGGGGAATGCGATGATTAGAAGTGCGTGGCTTGAAAGACGGAGCGAACCAGAAGTTGCGTACCACCAGGGGCCATGAGGTCTGCGCCTCCCATTAAAACTGGGATGACTTGCGAGGGGGTCGAGAGAGTCGGCAGGAGATTTGGACGTTTCCATAGCGTGTAGACTGTTCATCCGATTGACGATCGGGTTTTAGCTGCAGCTAAAAACATGGAGCACGCACTGGTTGGAACGAGATCTGAACTGCCCTTCCCAACCGTGAACCACAACGGGTCGCCATCGGCTGATAAGTACGCGAGCTAATGCAAAGAATAATTTTATGCATAAGAAATTCAATTCTGAATATAAAGACACAAGACGCACCCCAAGCTCGCCCGCATGAGCTGTAAACTTTACTGATTGCAAACCCTCCGGGACGAGAAGGTCCCCAACTCCCTCGTCCTGACCATCCTCAACGTTGATTCCAAATTCCGTAATGACTTTCTGCCTGAGCTTTTTGCGATCTGAATTGCGCAGCGGCGCTGTTTATTTCTTCGTTAGTGTTTGGAGGAGGTTGATGATAAACGTGGCAAACCAGATGTTTTCAAATCCGCAAGCGGTTTTTTGAACATGAATCGCGCAGGATGGGTCGGAGAGGTCCCGATAGTTTAGATATCACGAGTTTCCAATGGGGCGTACCAGACGAATGGCTTCAAAAAGATGATGAACGGCAAGAGTACGAGTAAACGAAAGCAAATCCGAACGCTCTGAGCTGCATGAACCGGCATCTACCGTGGCGGCAATCAACGTCACGGTCATTTTTTCCACTTCTCGTTGAGTCGCCAGCCTCTCACTTGATCTCTCTCGCAGAGAATTTCTTTCTGAAGCAACCCAGCATCTCAAATCGTAAAGCCGAATCGACGTTGAATGTTTTACCTGGTTTTCCCAAGGGTGGAAACCTTATCAGGCGAGTTACTAGTATGTCGTTCAAGTTGGAGATCTCTTCATCCTCCGAGTCGATCCTGGGCTCGACGTTGTCCTGCCAGTACTAGTGACCACGAAGCGGCTTGGTACGTAAGGTGAAAATCATCAAGCCTCGAGATTTTCCTCGAATATCGAAGCATTCAGTGGACGTGCGACGTAACACTGGCTGATGAGTGTTTGGAGAACACATCTTTCAGGACTGTGCGAGAACTCGGACACTGGCCAGTGGCTATCGGCGACATACCTAGGAACGACGGTCCGCACTCAAGCACAAAACCACATCCTCTATTCTACTGAAATGTCGTTGAAGAGTTAAT